ATCAAGCTCAGTTTAAACCACTGGCATGTAGTCTGTGTGCAACCATGAAACATACACACACACACACACACACACACACACACACACATATATGTATACAATATAGACATAGTTGTAAAGGATGTAAATCATAACAATGAGGAATAGTATACACTGGGTATGATCTTGATTGGCTCATGAAAACAAGATAATTTTAAGATAAAAGATAATTTTATCTTTGTAAATGACTTGTGATCCTGTCTACAAATCTTGCAGGTAAAACTAGAAAGCAAGCATAATTAGTGATTCCCTCTCCTTCCTGCTGCCCTGTTTGCTTCCTGAAAATCTGCTTCAGAACCTTGAAAAACTAACTCAAATGGCATGGGGAATGGCACTGGAGGCCATAGGGAAGATGAAACTCCAAGGTACCAAAGAATTCCACCACAAGACGGAAATTCTAGAAACAACCCATTGCTTTTATTAAAGATGGATAATTTAGAAGGGTGCTTTATTGAGGCATGGTCTTCCTTAGCTATTTTATTTGACCTCCTGGATGATCATATCAGGCAAAAAAATGCTTTGATGCATAGGGAGCACATGTTTGAACAGCCCTAGAATAATCTCTTTTGCTTGTTGGTGTCTCTATAAATAAAATACTTTGAAAACCTATTGAAATACAAATAACATTCTAATTGAAAAGGTCCTATAAACTCAAATATTTTAGTAACAAGGTCTTTTGTGTATGTCCTTGCTAAAATGATACCAAATGAAATTGTTGCTCCTTGATTTTTATAAACTTGGATACACACACACATACAAATCATGTACACCAAGTTTATAAGAATAAACAATATGGGCGTCATACAAACTAACAAACAAAAAAAAATCAGAAAACAACAAAATCATTATATAATACCGTGTTTCTCATAAAATAAGGCCAGGTCTTTTTTTTTTTTTTTGAGCCCCCCAAAATGGCTAACCCGTCTTTCTGGGGGTGACTTAATTCCCCCCCCCTTGTATCCTCGCCTAGAGCACCCTATGGGCAGCCATGCCTCGGCACCAGCCACTCCTAATGGGCGATCATAGTGGAGTGCGGAGAGCTCCCTATTCCCACCAAGCACCTTTGCTGCACACCTGAGACCTTGGGCACCCGCTGCTGTTGCTTTCCCTTCTGCCCATGCCGTGGTGGCGTTTGGAGCTGCCGCTTCCGCGTTTGGAGCGCTGCCGCTACTTGGAGCGCTGCTGCCGTGTTTGGAGCTGCTGCCGCATTTGGAGCGCGTTTGGAGCGGCTGGTGGCGAGGCATGGCTGCCTGCGGGTCGCTCCTAATAGCAAGTCCCCCCCGTCCTTCCCCCCCATTTCCCATGTTTTAAAATAGGCCTAAATTTGGGGGGGAGGGGCTTAATTTCATTTTATGCCTAGAAAACATGCTGGGTCTTCCTATGGGGGGGGCGTATTGTTGGAGAAACACGGTATTAATTGCAGTATTTTAATTTCAGCATGTTTTTATTCCTTGTAATTTGTACTTTTGACTTTTATTTGTTTTTAATATTTTTATGTATGTATGTAACAATATTTCAGCAATTATTGTAATTCCTCTCCAGAAAAACCCGTTGTGAATGTAAATAAATAAAGTGAATGAAACAAATGAATGTTGTTACATTTCATTTCATTTTCAGTCCGTGACAAAAGACTGAAAAATAGATACTCCAAAGCATGTGTTCAGAACCTCCTAATCTTGAATTCCAGATCTGCCCTTCTGCTTCTCTTACTACTAAAGCAGCTGATCAAACAGCCATGTTGGATGATGCAAACCCAGACACTAGTCAATCATTTTATTTTCCAAACTAATACAGAAATAAAAAATAAGCAATGCCGGTCAGCATATATTGAGCAAACCTATGTTGGTGGAGTTGTTGACTATAACCACCAAGAACTGAATATAAATGGAAAAATAATTATTAGGGGAGGGCATGTTAATTGCAGTTGCTATTGCATCACAGTTAAACTAAATCTAAAAACACCAATAATTTGGAGAGATGGTTTAATAAAGAGAACATGATTCAAACTCACTTTTAAAAAAATTTGAATATAACAGACAAAATCCCATGGTCCTTGTGACATTTCTGGCAACCCAGAAATGGAATTGATTTATTTTATATGTATGAAATATTTATATTCCACCTTCTAATGGTAAAATTGTATTTCCAAATAGAGATAGATAGCAGATAGCATTAAAAAAAAACATGTAGGGGGAAAAAAGTACCTTTGTGTGTGTCCCAAAGCGTAAATTATAATTATTTACATTTCTACCTATAATGGTTTTATAATGTATTTTTGTAAAGTACATTTTGATTGGGAGTTATCTAGAGTTGGTTCTAAGGTGGCCAGCTATATGTTATTAAAAATGACAAATGAATGAATTAAACCAATGAGACACATTTCATTAGGCATGTTTATAAATATTCTAGCTACTGGAATCTATTCCTGTGGGACAAATATATTGATCATTGCTGAATAAGCTTTTCTCTTACCTGTGAGCATGGAATCATACTAAAACACAGATGTGATTTCATTTCCCAAGTAAACAGAAAAAAAGTTCCGAGGGCACTGAAGCTTCAGTAGCTATAAATGCAAACATGGATTTTGCCTGCACAGATTATTATTGTTAAATTTATTTGCCAAATATCTTGCTGCGGGTCTACTTTAGCACCTTGTAACAATAACATGGAAACAATGAAAAAGTGTAAACAGAAGTAAAATAATAGAACAATAAGATAAACAATGAAAAAGAACATAACGGAATTCATCAATATGATAACCAAAAAGATGGATAGGTGGAGAGTAGAGAGCAAGATGAGAGGGTTAGGGTTATAGAGACAAAGATAGAGAAATGCACGTGAGATTGTCTCCTCTAAAACAGAAATGCATCTGTTTTGCACACAAATAAAAAGACCAAAAAAGTTTACATAAAATCTGTACGTACTAATTTAAATATATAACTACATCTACATATCATGCTTAATATAAATAGAATATATCTTGCCATAGTGGGGGGAAAAAATCTGTCTGTTGTCCGAGTACATTTGGTCTCGATTAGTACCGTTAGTGAATCCCACAGCATTAGCCAAATTTGGCTACAGAAATGATATTTTCATGAAAAATGCAGTTATGGGTTCAAGTCCAATGGAAGTAGGCAGTGAAAATCTTAAAACAAAATTTTATGTGTATAGTAATAAAATTTTATAGGAAATGATAAAAAAACATACTTATAATTAAATGTATGGCTAACAAAGTCACAGTGTTAAATTTGTACTGTTTTCCTCTGACAGAATCTTCTTTTTCTCCATTTTGCACACATGAAGATTCAGCAGCGTCTAAAACCCAAACGCAACTTCACATGGACTAGGCTTAATTGTATACATACTACCTTTGTATAAACTGAATTTGGGGTCATATTAAAAGTGACCTGGTGTCAGCCTTGACCTATATATATATTTATAATTCATGGGAAATATTAAAGCTCTTCCTTGTTCTTCATATGTGAACAAAATTGGGTTGTTGAGCTCTTTAGTTATTTGTGACCCCTAGATTCCTGCTGAAATTTTATGAAAATTTAGTCAGGTACTTTTTTTGGCAATAATAGAGTAGTGAATTGAATTTATTTACACAGCTGTAGATAAAATATATTGTTTACCATGGTCATACTAACTTTTTAAATGCCCATCTTTGAAACAGAATATGCTTCAAGCAGAATATGGTGCTCCATTTAACAGAGCAAAGAGCATAGAAATATTATTTTGGAGCATAAGAAAAAAGAAATTCAAGACAAGAAAGAGAACTTTTGTACAAATGTTGATAAAGCTGTCATAGATGTTGTAATAACATTTTTAGCAGTAAATGTCACATTTAAAACACTAATCCTAATCCTAACCCTATCCTATACATTAAAATGGTAGTCTTTGGAGCCCATAAATTGCACAATAAACTATGAACAACACCAGCATACATTGTAAGGAATAATACGTCATATGAATTATGCAATTATAATTATACAATTCCAAAGAAAACCTTGCTGACAAGGAGTTCCAAATAGGATTCTACAAACACTGCCATGTGCAAGGAAACAAAACAGCAACCACACAACTCCTAAATGGAAATTTGGGTTTATTTTAAATAAATGGTGCTTTGTTATTTAAAAGTACAAACAGGCTTATGAACTTTGTTAAAAAATGTTTTGAGTAAAACACGAACAAACTTACCGTACTTTGTTTCTCAACTGCTTTAAAGTAATGTGAACTGATAACATAATTTTAAAAGATAAAAAATAAACATTTGTTTAGAAATATAACCCAGTAAACTCAGTGTTATATAATCCAAAGAAAGAGAGTAACTATAGCTATTTAAAGGCCAGTTTAGGAAATTTTGTTGATTTTCCAAGAGGCACAAAAAGTTGTATAGCAAGGTTAGAGTTGCTAGAGAAGCACTGGGTTCTTAAGACCTTTTCTTTCAAAAGCAACAGTGAGAGCTTTTTGCAAAGTGCACATTTGTCACTTTTTCTCTTCTCTTCCTTGATTTTGATTTTTTTTAACAATGAAATCTGTTTCAGATTCCCATAGAATGTAAGGAGCCAGTGGGTGGCTCTTGCTCTGCTTGCCTTGAGACTGGTCAACAGGACTTCAGAAACAGAACGTTGAGGAAATAGTAACAGCAGGATAAATTATACACAGGACTTATGAATGCTTTTCACTTGGAAGAGGTCAGCAAACTAGGAAGTAGGCCAAGATAATACAAAGTCGTAAACTTTAAAAGACCTTAATGGGAATTTGCCAAATGGCGGTTTCTGCTATCACCCTAACCCTAACCCAACCTCACTGAGGCAAAAAGGGTCACAGTTGGAGTTGGTCTTTTACACACTGCTTTGAACCAATCAATTATTTATTTAGCTTTGGGTATCTTGTGATTACAGAACAGTCAGACATTATTTAATATTTAAATTTTAACATCATTCCCCATACCTCACCCAAATAGGTCACAAATTATCTTCCAAGTTGCAGAACTTCTGAGGGTTCCACCTTATGCCTCCCAGCTCTGTGATGATAGCAATCCTTTGCTCATCCTCTGCTGCAACATAACCATGCTATGGGATCAATACAGAGCACAATTAGCACACACACTTAATCCTTTCACTCAGTTTCAAAATGCCTGTAAAATGCTCTGGTTTATTTTCCCAGTTTATACAAATGGCATTGACAAAATTCTTGCCTCTTCCATCATGCTAGCTAGGGAATTCTTGGAGTTGGTCCTCAAATCTTCAAGTTGTCAAAACTGAAAAACACTGCAATATTCTGAGAAATGGCCGGAAATATGTACTCAATCTGTATAGATCAGGCTTGTCCAACCCGCGGCCCACGGGCCGCATGCGGCCCAGGTCGCCTCGTAATGCGGCTCAGTGCCCACCCCAACCATCGTGCCACAGCCAGCGAGAAGGAGGAGGAGAGGCAGGCGCGAGGCGGGGCGAGGCGAGCGCCAGGCCAAGCAGCAAGAGAAAAGGCGGGCGCCGTCAGAGCGCCACCTCCTGCTGTTACCGCCGCCGCTTCTGCCCCTGCCACCGCTGCTGCTTCTGCCCCCACCGCCGCTGCTGCCCCCGCCGCCGCCGCTTCTGCCCCGCCGCCACCCCGCCGCTTCTGCCCCGCCGCCACCCCTACTGCTTCTGCCCCGCCACCCCCGCCGCTTCTGCCCCCGCCTCCACCCCCGCCGCTTCTGCCCCGCCGCCACCCCCGCCGCTTCTACCCCGCTGCTTCTGCCCCCGCCGCCACCCCCGCCGTTTCTGCCCCGCCGCCACCCCCGCCGCTTCTGCCCTGCCGCCACTTCTGCCCCGCCGCCGCCCCCGCCACTTCTGCCCCCGCCGCTTCTGCCCTGCCACTGCTGCTGCTTCTGCCCCCACCGCTGCTGCTGCCCCCACCGCCGCTTCTTCTCCCGCCGCCACCCCCGCCGCTTCTGCCCCCGCCGCCGCTTCTTCTCCCGCCCCTGCTGCTGCTTCTGCCCCCGCCGCCCCCGCGGCGGGGGTAGAAGCGGCGGCGGGGGTGGTGGCGGGGGCAGAAATGGCGGCGGCAGAAGCAGCAGCGGTGGCGGGGGAAGAAGCGGCGGGGCAGAAACGGCGGCGGCAGAAGCAGCAGCGGTGGCGGGGGAAGAAGCGGCGACGGCAGGGGTAGCGGCGGCGGGGGCAGCGGCGGCGGGGGCAGAAGCAGCAGTGGGGGCGGGGGAAGAAGCGGCGGCGGGGGCAGAAGCAGCAGCGGCGGCGGGGGCAGAAGCGGTGGCGGCGGCAGAAGCCTTCCCCCGCCGCTGCTTCTGCCCCCGCCGCTGCTGCTGCTGCTGCTTCTGCCTTCCAGTCCTGCCTCATCCAGCCGGGCTATTTGCAGGAGGAGAGGTAGGCGTGAGGCAGGCGAGCTTCCCCCCACACCCACCCACAAAATTTGGCTGGAAAATAAACTGTGATAAAAAAAACTGTGATAAAAAAACCGTGATAAAAAATAAATAATTTTTAATAAATAATTAATAATAAATAATAAAAACATCTCACTAACTTTATTTCCAAATAAATTTAATATGTTAACTATGTTTTCTGTGGTTTTTTGGGATGATCGGGTATCGTTACTGTTATTTTATGTGTGGCCCAAACCAAATTTTCATCTTCTAATGTGGCCCAGGGAAGGTGAAAGGTTGGACACCCCTGGTATAGATAGTGTAGGATGGGGATATATATTTGTTTTATATTTTATGTGAACTGAAACAAATGGAATAATTGTTGCTATTGGAGCTGTGACAGTTTGGGAGCAAGATATCATTTGAATCCTGCTGTCTTTAACTCTGAGGGGTCCTTGGTGGTTTTCTTACAGATGTTTCATTATCCAAACTAAGTAACAGCCACAGTGCTAGTAAGGACTGCAGATTGTTGTCAGTTTATATTCTGGTAGCTTGCCCTGTCAGTGTTGGTGGAGGGGTTTTAGAGATTCTTTGGTTGGGCTGTTGGCTCTTTGACAATTTCTGGATTGGGGTATTGTTTACTTGTTGGTCTGATGTTAACCTTGCTGTTAATCTATGCTGATCTGGGTGCTGATTGCTGGTGGAGAAATGCTTGGTCTTTCTGTTCTTTTTTGGGCTGGGTGATAGTCTCTTCTGCATAGTCTATAGATGTTGTTAATGTCTATGTGTCTATTGATGTCTGATTTGTCAGGGTGCCCAGTTTCTAGAAATTCCCTGGCATTTTTAGATTTGGCTTGGTCTAGGATGGTCACATTTTCCCAGTTGAAACTATGTTTAAATCTGTCTATATGTTGCAAAATTAAATAATTTTAATAATGTCTTCTGTTGATGTGGGTATGTTCTGCCAGTCTCTTGCCTGTTTGTCCTACATTGTTGCAGTCCTTACATTGTACACTGTAGATGACTCCTGTTTTTTCTTCTGGGTTGTTGGGTCTTTTAGTCTGCTTAGGATGTTTTGAAGAGATTTAATTGGCTCATGTGTACTGCTAATTCCATGTGGTTGTAGGAGTCTGAGATATTCTTGATGTATGGCAGTGTAATTCTTTTTAGGCTTTGTATTGGTTGTGTTGTACTGGACTGAGGGTCAGGGACTTTTTTAATAAAGTGGTGTGGATATTCATTTTGTTGGAATATGTTTTATAGATGTTCTATTTCCTTTTTCTGCTGTTCCAGGTTGCTGCAGTATGTTTGGGCTTATTTAAACGTTTACGCAGCTTCCCTTGTGAGAAGCTGGGTTGTTGCTTTGGTAGTGGAACACCTGATTAGTATGGATGGTTCTTCCGTTAGACTTGCATTTCTAGATTGCCATTGTGGTCTCTGCTGAACAGGATTTCCAGGAGGGTAGCAAGTTGTTGTTTTATTCACAACCTGCTACCCTTCCTGGACATCCTGATCAGCAGAGACCACAATGGGAAACTAAAAACACAAATCTACAGAAAAACCACCCATATATTCTCCTTTATTAGTTTTTAACTCTTACTGGCTAGTTGGAGAAACAACTGTTCATGGTATTTCTTGCTTGTTCTCAATGTTTTAAAGTCAACAGAAATGAATGCAGTAGCTTCAAACTGCTTTCAGGAGGATTCTGGGACTGAAAATTAAAGAAAAAATATTCAGCATAGAAAAATTCAGACTATTGTTGCATTTGAGTTTTTCTCAGCCTTAATTTATTCACAGAAGTGATGCTAACAAACATCTGACTGTAATTTGATCTGATCTCTTTAGCTCAGACCACTAAAATCTTTGGGACAGACCCCCCCCACATAAAGACACATCAATAGGTATTGAGAGAAAAGCAGGCTTGTTCCTATACAGATTTCACTGTGGCTTTGCAGGTCCCCAAAGCACTTTCTTTCTTTTTAAAGGGCATTAGCTCCCCAAATGTCTAGTTTCTGAAAACACAGCATTAGTATTTAACTAAAATTAGCAGACAGAAAAAGAAGTTACTGAATCAGGGGTTCTTTATTAATGTAAATTGTCTAGCAAATAACATCAAGATATCCCAAACCACGACTGGCTTCAATCAAGCCAAAGGATATGTCTTACCACCACTATCCTACTCCTTCTGCAAAAACCATAATTACGGTGGAGTGATCATTCACAGAAACTTTCAAGCAACCTAAAAAGGGAAAGGAAGCGGAAACAAAATCAGTAAAGAAAAGAAAAATGGACTGCATTTTGTAAAGAGTAAAATAAATTCCAGGGAATATATTTGCCTATTGCTTACATTTGGGCAACACCAAAACCAACCCCTTTAATAGTTCCATAACAAGTTGCTTGAGAACCACATACAGTTCTCAAAGCCCTATGCAACTCCTAGACTCCCTCTAAAACGAAATTGTAATATTGAATAAAACCGAAGGAGGGAATGCTTAAATAGTTGGAAAATAATCCTATTAACAATGTATTCAATTTAATGAATTCAATTTAATGTACATTCAAATTAATTCATACTGAGTTTTGTCCTGCCTTTATATCTTGCTGAGTGCTGACACTGGAAAGCAATGTAACCCCTTAATCCAGGAAAAGCTGTTTTGCTTCATTTTTTCCAGCCTGGTACTTTCCAGGCTTACTTTAACCACCATATTTGGAAGGCAACAAGCATGTGAACCAGTTACACCAAGCTAGTCCTTATCATTTTGTTTCTTTGCTGACTAATAAACTGTTTATTGATCGGTCTATAATAAACTGCTACTGATATGATTAAACTAAGAACATTATCTTTCCAGGGCTTTAAGGTAATAAAGCACAGCTTGTCAAAGTGTATTTTCTTGTCAATAACTTCTAGAGAATTGTTCACATGGAGCAGCTGTACTTGTACAGAGTGTTTTGTTAGGCTTCAAGTGCTGGAAGAGGAACACTGAGTTTCATTTCTTAAAGTGTTACCTGGGGTTTCACACAAGGTTCTCTCAAATTTGTACAGACCATCACAGATCAACTGTATATCATCATCTCCATTAAAAGAAAAACAGATGAAGAGAAGCCCAAGGTCATTATGTAAATTTGCATACAGGACATCAAAGAGTTCAAATTCCTCAATTACTTTTCTCTCAGACCAGGGTCCTGCCCTTCAAAAGATTCAGGTTCAGATTAAAGACAAAATGTTAAGGATGTACAACTTAATATTATATATTTATTTCCCCAGAGTCCATTGAAGTTGACAAGCCAATAAATTAAAATAAACAAATCAACAAACAAATATTCTTTCTCAGCCATCTTTCCCCTGATTTCAGTAGAGTCTACTATCCAGCAATTGCATTTATGATTCCATTCCAAATATCCGAGCTGAACATGCTAAATTTCTATTATTTTAAGATTAAAATAGTTTTTATAAATAAAACTTTCATTTCTATACTTAATGCTTAAAAGATTGGTTATACTTAAATAGAAAGAGACGAAATATAAAGGACTCAGTGTATAGAAAACAAATAGGTAACTTGGAATACACATATACTGTACACCAATTTTCCAATCCTGCTAAAGGGATTATCTCATCTTAAAAAGAGCTGCTTGCTAAACTCAGTGTCCCCAATAATAATCTGAAGATTTGATGGATTTCTTTCCTTCTTGGCACACGTTAAAATAGGTGCTTGGATTCCTGGCATGCTGACAGATTGTTAAATTTCTTAACTGAACAATAGCTTGGCAACTTTAGATGACACACACTTTGCAGGGGTTGAGGCAAGGTGACTAAAAATGAATTCAGGATAAACTGACAATTTCATACCAGATGTTTTGGTTTAGCATATTCATTAAATTTCTTCATGTAGCCGATGTAAAAGATAACTGTCTAGAAGGCATAGTCAATCATTACTTATATAAACTTTCAGAACTGACCACAGCAAATTGTGGCTACATTTTGAATGCAAGAATTAAGATTTTGCAGCAAATCAATTAATGTAATTATTTAAACAAATTGCCAATGATCTCTTTGGGCTGCTTTTACAGATTTTATATTCTCTTAATGGAGACGATAAAGTTGTCTCTTCTATTTTCTTCAGTGGTTCCAAACTGAAGGAAAAGTCTTTTTTAAAGCCTAAGATCCCTTCCAGCATGGCCAGGGCCAGACAAGAGACCCCACCGCAGATCCCAGTCAGGTTTTCATTTTGCCTCCAAATGTTTGCAGTGCACGTAGGAAAACTCTTGTCTGCGGAGCCGTGAGTTCACAGATAGTTTGCACTGGCTAATCTCAAAGTTCATAGCCAGCCTAAAGAGCTAAAATCTGCCTCTGCCGCCTAAACGGGTGGGATTCGCACACACCCAAGTCGTTCCCCATTTTACTGCGCGGCGACATTTATAGCCTTTCAGGGATCTGGAACGTGAAGACTTCTCATCCTACAGTATTTTTGACGCAGGAAGGGTGACACATCGATGCCTGCCTAGTTCGCGTTCTACCCGGGGTCTCTGGCGCCTTAGGGGCTCATCAAAGTCTTCAGTGAAGAACTACGCGAAGAAATGGTTCAACCCAGCCCGGCTTTCAGCGGTCCGAAGAAGTGTAAGTTTTACCTGGCCTTAGAAGCACGGAGGAGCAAACACAGACCTAGCGCCGGCGCGCGGAGGGTTAATCCTAAGTGCTGCGCGGCCGCAGGGGCGACCCTCTCAATGATAACAAACGATCACGTGGTGGATCAAACTGAGGGGAATGGTTGTTTCACCTCTCCTTCCTCTTGCGCAAACGTCACCCCACCTTCCCGGTCACCCGGGCGACGGGTCCATCTGGGCGCGCGTCAGAACAGCCCGTCTCTTGGCAACGGCTGGATGTCTCTCTTTCCCTTCTCATTCAGCCTCACGCTCGGTCGCGCGTCGCTCTGGCGTCAAAGTGACGTCAATGGGTCTGTCTCGGTTTTCGAGGTAGGCGGGGGGAGGGCTTCCCGCGTGTTCCTCTGTCCCCGGCGCGCAGAGAGCTCGCTGGCAGCCGGCAGAGCAGCCGAGGCGGTGCCACGGGTAGTACGGTAGGAGCGGCGGCGGCGGCAGCTTGAGAGCCTGGCAGCCAGACGAGCGCGGAGGCGGCAGCCGCTTGGCAGGCGGATTCAAGGTACAGCTTCGGAGCGAGTCGCGCGGGCAGGGCTGGAGCGGATGCTGCGAAAGCTTGCGGCGCGGTTCTTTCTTTCTTTCTTTCTTTCTTTCTTTCTTTCTTTCTTTCTTTC